GACTTTGATTTCTATGACGACTGGGACTACGATGAGGATACGACGACTGATAGCCTGTTGGGCTGGGGAACTGATGAATTGGACAGATTACTAGCTGGAAGTAGTGGTGCGCGGGGTCCTGTAGACCAGCCACGAAGACATCGCCGTATGAGCTATGGCGCTCGCGGTGGCCGTCGGAAAAGCACTGCATTACCCAATGATGAAAGGCGCGATCCTACGGTTATCCCCAGTTCTTCATTCCTTGGATTTTTAGAACGTTTCCCCTGGAGAATTGGTGCCAGAGGCATAAGATATAGGCCCTCTGCAGCTGACTTGCAAGAAAATCCGGGAGGAACGCGACGGGATACTATGGAGAGCGAACCTCTGATTGAGGGGAGTGATGAGAGCGACATGGACGGTTCTAAGGATGACGAGGGGTTGCCTGCGACGAAAACTAGATTAAGGAGCGGTACTCAATCATCACGAGAAACCAGCAATTCCTTAAGCTCGCGCGGCGATCTCCTACCCAGCGATGAAGAAGAAGATGCTGTTCCCCTTGACGACGAATTTGCCATGACATTAGGCCGCCGGGACACCTGGGGATCAGGATTGCAAGACGCCCCGCCTGCAAGTAGATCTGCCTCTGGAATATCAATGAAAACCACAGAATCCTCCAAAGACTCGAGAACTTCGGGCAAAGGAAAAGGAAAGCGGAGGAAGAATCGAAGGAGAACTGTCTCTTCCAAGTCCCCTAAATCACCAGTATCAGACGGAGAAATGAGAGAAACAACGCAAATTCCTTCTCTGCTAGACTTGAAGAGAGAGGAAGAGCAGGCTCGATACAAAGAAGAGATGGAAATTGATCGGAAGCGACAGGCTGCGCAGAAGCTCGCTCGAGATCGCGGCTTAAGCGTGGTTGAAGATAATGGAAAGGTAAATAAATCCCATTTTATTCCGTTCTTTCGTCTTTCCAGGGGTAGTTTTGCTGATGATGGGACCGCTAGCCTGTAAACGAAAATGACGACATCTCACAAGACCCGCAACGCGAACAACAACTACTTGACGACGCAACTCACAAACTCCCTTCGTCTCATGGGCAAGGTTTACACTCGACAGACATAGACAAACCACCTAATCCTGTAGATAATCGAGATCCACCAGATCAAGAGCCATAATCCTAAAGACTGTGTGAATCATAGTGCAAAACACCACAAAACTTCATTCCCCATCAACCTCACTCGACTTGTCACACATTTGGTTTTTCCCCGTTCATACCTTAGCCTTCAGACGACCAGCTTTCTATGAGATACCCATTAACCCGCCCCATACGCCTGGAGCGAGCAAGCTGCCATCAGCCCATTCCGTATACTTGATGGCTCTTCTTCCTGTTTAAATTCCACGCGCAGCAGAGTACCAATACCAGAGGAACGAAAAGGAAACCCGATTTCGCGTGTTTGAAAATTATTTCCGACTCTTTTTCTCGTTCTTGACGTATAGGTTTGCTTTATTTTCACATATATGACAATTTCCTTTTCTTGGGATACGCGAAGAATGGAATGATTGATTGTGGATTAATTTTTCCCTGTGTATATATTCTACTATATTTCTTTCTGATTTTGTTTTACACCTACTTTTTCCATTCCCACAGAGTCTCCACTAAGCAACATTGCTCTCAGGCAATGATGACGCTACAGCAACAAGCAACACGATGGATTGATGGCTAAATATGCTATTCTGCTGATATACTGAGAGAAAATCAATAACAACTACGTTTGTTTCTCCAAACAGCTGCATCTTCATATGCATGGATACATGCCCCATGTTTACTCAACTCAACTCACCCATCTACACCTCCAATGCAGTTCTCCATGCCTCGGTAAACTAGATCCAGCCTGCTATTTCCAATTCTCTAGGTCACATCATCGCTCTAAACCCCTTGTCAGAAGTGACATCCAAGCCCAAAAACGCGGCCATCTGCCCCATATGGTCGACGCCCCAGAAGCATTCCGTCTCGCCGCTGCCATTGGTACATTCGAACCAAGGCACGCCGAAGGCGCCGATTTCCACCGCCTTATCGCCATTGGCGGTTAGACGGTCTTTGATTGCCTGGGTGGTGGACTACCGTTGTGTTTTGGTTTTGTAATTCGCCTTTAATTAACGAACGGATGTACTTGGGGAAATAGCGGGAAATGGTAAAAGGATCCATCATAACGATGCAGTCTCTCTGTTGTCGTTTGGGGCTTGTTTTGATTTACATACCTGTTCCACCGCATTTGCAGCCATCTCTTTGCCCACGGCAGATTCCAGAATGGGGAGGAATGTGTCCGGATCGCTGATCTTTGGGTTGCCTGCGACCCAAAACTCCTGGTATAAAGCATCGAAACAGACAGGCAAACTCTTTGCAGGGATGGTGCAGAGAGCTCGTTGGACCTGGATGGGATCTGTAAGTGTTTCAATCTCTCTCTTTTTTTTTTTTTTTTTTTTTTTTTTTTTTTTTTTTTTGCTGGCATTTCGCAAACACCATCATGATGGCTCAGGAGGCAATAATTACGGCTTGAGAACATACATTCATTGTCGAAATAGGGAATCCTCAGGGGTGGTAGAGGAATACTTGAAATTGAGGGTCTTTGCCCAGCGCGTGCGCTCTTGTTTTCCCTTTAACTTTGTCCAATTCGGAGGTTGTTGGCACGATGCAAGCATGGCTGA